ATATCTTACATTGTTAATGATGATTCAATTGACTCTGGCACCTTCAGAGCGATCTTCAAGAGAAGCTCTGATGATATTTTCGGCATAGACATTAAATAGAAGAGGGGACAGAATGCACCCTTGACGCACTCCTCGTTCTATGTTTACATAATTGGTATTTCCGTTGTCTGTTCGAACACATCCTGTGTGGTTCCAGTATGTATTGCTTATTATAGCTATGTCGTGTCCGTCCAGCCGTACTTCTTTTAGCACCTCAATCAATTTTTCGTGTCTAATGCGGTCGAAGACTTTTCTATAATCGACAAAGCACACATACAGCTGTTTTTGAACCTCGAGATACCTTTCTGCCATTAGTGTCAATCCCATTATTGCTTCTTTGGTGTCTGTACCTTTCCTAAAACCATATTGAGAACGACTCAGATATTCTTCACACTTATTGTGAATGCGGTTATAAATTACTCGCATAAAAATCTTAGCAGCATGACTCATTAGGGATACAGTTCGATGGTCTTCACATTTCCTTGCTTTTTGTTTTTTAGGAAGAGCTACATATGTGGATGTTAGCCAGTCATGCGGTAGAGTGCCATGTTTATATATAATGTTAAAGAGGTAGGTTAATTTCCCGACAGCATCATCACTCAGGTGTTTAAAATGTTCGGCTGTTGTTAGATCTTCGCCGGGTGCCTTGTTGTTCTTTGCGTCTTTTATTGCCCGCATAACTTCTTCCGTTAGAATACTTAGTTTTCCATCGGTATCTATTTGTGGGGGCCCTTCTGCTCTCCGATCACCAAACAAATCTTTAAGATATTGTTCCCATATTTCCTTCTGTTTTTCGGGGTCTAATTCCATTTGGTTTAAAAATTAAGAATGTTGAAAGTCTCTCGAAAACCCCAAAAAGGGTTTGTACGATATATGGCACACTATGAAGTTATGGACTCATTGATTGTTTTTGTAGATATGGATCCGAAACTCTTTTATGGTACAATGAATGCAGTTGAAGTGAAGAAGTGAAGAATCAAATCTCTCCGATGAAGACTGCACAAATGAGATAATATTGTGTCAAGATAGTGACAATCAGGAACGTGAAAATTTACCAAGCAATGTCAAGGAAATTGTCATTTTTGCCACATCCTCAAATTTCTCAGATGATAATACTCCTTTGTCTGAAAGACTACGATATAAAAGGAAGAAATCCCGTAAAAGGTTAAAGGAAATCTGAGAAGATAAGAAAATTATACAAAATTTACTGGTTCTGAAAATTTACCTTCTTCGATTTTACAATTAGAAACTCCGGTCTAAAAAGTCGTTTATTTGGTTTAAAAATTAAGAATGTTGAAAGTCTCTCGAAAACCCCAAAAAGGGTTTGTACGATATATGGCACACTATGAAGTTATGGATTCATTGATTGTTTTTGTAGATATGGATCCGAAACTCTTTTATGGTACAATGAATGCAGTTGAAGTGAAGAAGTGAAGAATCAAATCTCTCCGATGAAGACTGCACAAATGAGATAATATTGTGTCAAGATAGTGACAATCAGGAACGTGAAAATTTACCAAGCAATGTCAAGGAAACTGTCATTTTTGCCACAGCCTCAAATTTCTCAGATGATAAGGTTAAAGGAAATCTGAGAAGATAAGAAAATTATACAAAATTGACTGGTTCTGAAAATTTACCTTCTTCGATTTTACAATTAGAAACTCCGGTCTAATTTTTTAAGTTTTTTCTGATAGTCTTATAGACCAATCAAATTTATACTCAGTGCAACAACGTCCAGATAAACCAGCTAATTTAAAAAAATATGAAATAGAACAATTTACAGGAATTACTATTTACATGTCGATAATTCAACTTCCATCAACAAGACACTATTGGAATGCCAATATTGGCCACCAAACAGTTAGCGATGTGATGAGCTGTAACATATTCGAAGAAATAAACGTTTCTTGCATTTCAATAACAATGATGACATAATTGAAAATGACAGCCTGGACATGACAGATTATTTAAAATTGGATCTGTTTTGAGCCAAATTAAAGAAAGACTACTCATGGTTCCGAAAGAAGAATTTCTAGCTGTAGACGAACAGATTATATCAACAAAAGCGCGAAGACAGCTAAAGCAGTATAACCCAAAAAAAAAACCACATAAGTGGGGCTTCAAAAACTTTGTGCTGAGTGGTATTTGACTTTAATTTGTTTGCTGGTTCCCAGAGTAATATTGTACCTCTAGGAGCATCAAATCTTAGTACCAGCAGCAACGTCGTTGTCAAATTAGCAGATTCGATACCAAAATATCAACATTACAACTTGTTTTTTGATAATTGGTTCACCAGCATACCTCTTATTATATACCTGACAGAGAGGGCATTTTACCTTTGGGAATAGTAAGACTTAATCGTGTTCCTGGAGTTGTGATGTCAGCTGAGAAAGAAATGAAGAAGCGCGGGAGAAAATAGCCAATATAGACAATGTGGATCTCGGTGTAGTGTCCTGGTTTGATAATAAAATTGTTACTACAATGTAAACATGCTGGAAGTGAACCAAACTACCAATAGCCAATGCTCTATGCAAAGCCGGAAAGCCAATTAAACAGAACAGAGTAGAAAGACCGTCAAGTAGTAGCATTCAGCAGATGTACGAGAACAAACAGAAAAAGGAACCCTCTAAAGAAATACACCAAAAAGACATTCGTCTTGAGACATTCGGATGAGACCACTAGGTCAAGATGCAAATTTCCAGGCTGTACAAGGAAAACGCATAATATATATAGTGTGCACAAAATGCACAATACCGCCGTGTATTAATAAAGAAAGAATCTGTTATTTGCAGTTTCATACTGTATAGTGTATACGGTAGCTTCAAAATAGTTTGACTTTCATATTACATTGTTGTATGATGTTCCATATTTCGCACCAAAAATTTTTTTTGTCATTAAAGTTTTCCTCATAGCTAGATTTTTTCAATATTCTTACGTAAAAATAGAAATAAAATTCTTATCTGAGAATTTATTTTTGACAAAAACAAAAATTCATGCGGTAAAGGATTAATTTAATTATTATTAATTATCTAGTAATATACCATTGTTATGCCACAAATAGGGAGCATAGTTTTTTCTATCTCTGGGAGATCTTCCTTATTTCGCATTTCTGGCTTCCTTGTCGCCGCGTTTACTCGAAATTAATAAGAAACGTACGTAATGTTGTTGTACGTAAATCTATAAAATATAATTTATATCTCGTACTTAAAAGTCTATCATTTAACATTATGTTAAATCGTGTATGTCTATTTCTTTGATTTCCTATGCTCCATATTTCTATATTTAAAACCTTTTTTAAAGTAAGTACAGAAATACTGCGAAGACTATAAAATGAATCTTGAAGAGATGAAAGGTAAAAGAGTGAGTGATTAAATATTGAAAGTTTTAATATTGAAGAAGCCAATAATAAGCGGTTCGGGATTGAAGAGTTGATAATTTGAGTGTTATAATAAACACCTCCAAAACAAAATTCATGACAAACCTAGTAGGGGAGATCCTTGTACTTTGAGACCGCTTGTACTTTGAAACGTTCGGACTTTTACAGCATACTAGCTGTTCAGGTGCATTATATAACGTTTCCATGCGCTCACAGAGGGCATAACACGTAATATGAAGCAGATCGGTCTAAAAACTCGACAGTTAAATTTGTTTGTTTGTGGCGTGACCATTGTTGTATTTTCGTATTTTCTGCCATCGAATAAAATAACTGTAAGTATATTAATATTCTTATATTTTGTCTATGTTTACACAAATATAGAAGTTTTAAGCAATATATTTTCTTAATTTTTGCAGAGAATTGTGTTTATTTTGAGTAATAAAAAGCGAATATTTTAAACATGTGATTATCGTGTACTTTGAAACGTCGTCTGAATTGTACTTTGAACCATATTCCAAAGTACACGGACATGGTCCAAAGTATAAGTTGTATAGACTGCAGACGGTTATAAAAATTTAAACGCTTATTTTTTGGCTTACAGATGCCGAGAAGCAAAACACACGTTAAAAGAATAAAACCTGTAGCCGAAAAAGTCGAAAATGCTGCTAACGCTGTATTGCAAAAACACCTCAGTCTAAAACAAGCCAGCGCAGACTTTAAAGTATCTAAAGCAACCTTATGCAGACATCTTAAGAAACACAGATAATCTTGACAAGAACATTTTGTATATAGTGCATCACAAGATGTTAACGCTGTTCTTGATGTTACGAAACAACAAGAGTAAGAACTACTACAGTATGTTACCATTAGTGCCAAGATGCATTACGGCCTCTCAACTATCGAATTAAGAAAGTTAGCATATAATTACGCACGTGTAAATAATATTGATTGTCCCTCTTCCTGGGATACAAACCAAAAAGCAGGAAAGGAGTGATACAGGTAAAAAAAGTTTTGCATTTTTTAGGTCATAATCATATGACATAGTCATAGAGCAGAATGGACAAAAATGAGGAAGGTCTATGTTAAGCAGTGGACGCAAAGGGCTGTGTGATGATAATGAATTTGAGTATAAGTGATTGAATTATTAAAGTTTACGGCTTTTGTCAAAAAAATAATATCTCTGCACAGCGTTAGGTAGCTACAGAATTCTGTTGAATGGGAAGTTTGTTTACAGATTCTGCCTTTCTCTCACTGATTGTGTCTTTGACTTGGCACTGCTTGATGAGTTACAATAATGGGGAAATGTGAATTGGAAGCGAAAAATAAGCTTTTGAAGAGAAAAGACAGGCTTCAAGTATTCTGGTGCGCAATAAGTCGCTCTCTATAAAACGAATTCTAAAAGAGCAGACTTGTTGAGGAAAGATAGGTTGTTACTGGTAATAATCGTTATGCTCTTAAAACATAATACTGCCGAACATAGACCTAAGCTCCAAAAAACTCTTATAGAATATTTATTTTACGTATATTGACTATGAATAGCTTATTGTCAAAGGGGTAAAGGTAGATTGCAAAGAATACGCAAAAGTAGAGTGTTATTTATTATTTATGTATGTAAATTTTTAAAATAAAAATATTGCATTGATTCTCTAGTCAGATCCGTTAACTAATTTTTCCTTAGTTTGCCCTGATAAATCAATTTTATTTCTTTCGACAAACTTATTAAACTCTTTCGTAGAACTGTTTACTAAATTGATTAGTTTATCTCCAGCGGGGGTATTCTTTTCGTTCTTTAGCACATCTTGGAGTTGGTCGAGGCAGGTCTTGCATTCGCTCATTGTAGTCAGTACCGACTTAACTTTGGCTTTGATTCCAAGGTCCCACTTACGCTTGATGGTGATCCAGTTTGCTAGGAATAGTTCGTGGAGTAGGACTGCGTGGTAAAGGGCTAGCCTATGAACAAAAAAAAAATATAACATTAAGGTTAACGGTCGGCGAAAATATAAGGGAGTCCCAAAATTTACGCAAGAGTTAAATTAAATGGAAACCATTGTTTTTTTTTTGCAGATTGTAGTTTTTTATTGAATTATAAAGCACTGAGAATATGGCTATGTATGGAATAGCCCTCACGGCCTTGCTGGTACATATGCATTCTTATGTCGAAATTTTCAATCATCATTTTGAAAAAATGGTGCTGAATTTTCTTCTTTAATGCATGGGTTGTTGTAGGCTTGTTGGCATAGACCTTTGACTTCATAACTCCATAAAAAAATTTCCAATGATGTTAAATCACACAATCTGTGGAGCCATTTCTGACCACCGAAGTACACGAGTACACGGCCAGGAAATGTATCAAGCAGTAATAAAATTGATTCAGCAGCTGTATGGCATGTGGCAGTATCCTGGTGAAACCACATGTTATCTACACCAATATCATACAATTTAGGCAGATAAAACTCTTTTATCATATTTCGATATCGAAAAGTTTCCGTTCTTGTGTCAATTGAAGTTTGTAAGACTGGAGATGCAGATCTTTAGTAAGTATACGCTGTAGAGAGCTTCTTGAAATTTTCAATTCTTGTTCACGATGCCAAATTAATGTTCCTCGATTATCACCAAGCACTCTCACGCACCACTTCGATACTAACATTTGACCGACTTGTTTTTCGTTGACCAGTGTGTTTAGCATCACCAATTGATCCAGTGTCCCTGAATTTTTAATCAATTTTAATCAAATCATTGTTAAATCAATAATCTGACCATATTTTGTACGAAATTTTTGAACTGTAACCGCGAAACTTTCATTATTTTTAAAATATTGTTGAATAATGAAAAGACGTTAATTTATCGTTCAACGCTTCATTTTTACTAACCCTTAACTGTCAGCTGTCAAACTGCTTTTCTTTTTTTTGTTGCCAACACATTACTGCACAAATGGCGGTAAATTCATATCTTGCGTGAATTTTGCGGCACCCAAAGCAGTATATGTGGACTAAAATAGAAAACAACAGGAATGGAATGATTAGATGCGTATGATGGAAGATCTTATACGAGACAATTATTGAAACAATTCAGTGTCTTTTTTGTTGTAAAAAATTGTTGCGTCCTTCTCAATTTTAACAAATTCATAATATTCTAATTCGTTAACGGCGGGGTATATTACGTATAAATATATGTCAAGAAATAATTATTTAAGTTTTTATCGATAAGTAATAGAAGCGATAGTTATAAAAATGGTAAACAAACGTTACAAACAATAAAAATTTGAACAAGTAAAAAAAAGCGAAAGAAAAAAGAAAAACGTTAGCGTGAAAAATCAGTAAAGAATTTGGGGAAAAGTATTTAACTTATGCAAACTAATTAAAGTCGTAGAAATAATCTACTACTAATCGATTAACAAATAAGAACAAATTTGGACTTCGTCTGGTAAAGATATATTTTATTAATGGTATCAACATAACAGAAGAGAAGCTCAGTTATTTGAGATTTGTAGATGACATCGTCCTTATAGCCGATCGTATGGATGATCCAATGATAATGTTTAAAAAATTATATCACGCTTCCTTGGAGAGCGGACTAAAGATTAATACGAACAAGACGCAAATAATAACTAATCTGAGGATATGTATAATAACTATCCCGAGATATCTCATTGAGGGGTTTTGGTTGGATAAATAAAACCTGCGAGCAAAAGGTTTTGTTGTCTGCTTCTTATGGTGCAATATCCAATTAGTGGATGTTGGCGACAATTCTGAAATACTACTAGCGATCTTGTGCATGGGCATCGAGATTTGTCCAATCCCTTATGTTTTTAAGCCATGAGTATTTCTTTCTTCCGATGCCTCGTTTTCCTTCTATCTTTCCTTCCATAAAAAGCTTTAAGAACTGGTACTTGGAATTTCGAAATATATGCCCCAGATAAGCAGTTTTTCTTCTTGTGTCCTGTTGTTGTGTGATCTGTCCAGGGAATTTTAAGTAGTCTTGTAAATACCCATATTTCAAAGGCCTCCAATCGGTTAATCACATTGGCCTTTATGGTCCAGGTTTCTACACCATATAACAGTATGGAGTAAATGTAACATTTTACAAAGCGATATCGAAGCATTAAGTTTGGGCTGCTGTTACCTAGCCAGGTTCTCATATTAGTAAATGCTGTTCTGGCTTGCTCAATCCTGCTACAGATCTTCAGTTATCCAACTACCGAGATATCTGAACTTGGGGACCTTTTGGATGTTCTTGTTGTTTACTCTTATATTCAATTGCATATTTCGTGTTATACTAACCAGCATTATCTTCGTCTTGTCTATATTAATCTTCAAGCCCACTCGTTCTCCTTCAGTGTTTATTTTATCTATTACTCGTTGTAGCGCTTCTCGGCTATCAGCTATTATGACTGTATCAGCATAGCAAAGATTATTAATAGTCTGTCCGTTGATTTTGATTCCATCTTCAGTGTCACTTAAGGCTCTATCGAAAATCGTTTCAGAGTAAAGATTAAAAGGGGATGACAGAACACAACCCTGTCGTACACCTTTTTCGATTGAGAAATATGATGTAGATTCCAGTCCTACTCTCACAGATGCCACTTGATGCATATAAAGGTTCTTTATGATTTTAAGGTCATTCTCATCTATCGAACGTTCGTGAAGCAATCTTATTAATTCTGAATGATTAACACACTCGAATGTTTTCTGGTAATCTATAAAGTGCTTCTCTTGTGCCAAATCCTTATCTGAAACCGAACTGTGTGGGGCCAATGTCTCTTTCACATCTGTTATATATTCTTGTGTGAATTATCTTTAAGAAGAGTTTTAGGACCTGGCTCAATAAGCTGATCATTCGAAATTGGTCGCAACTATTAGTGTTTGGCTTTTTTGGGATTGGTATAAAGGTTGATTGAAGCCAGTCATGTGGTATTTGACCGTCATTAAAATAAATGACATTAAAAAGATCTAGCAAGGTATCTAAATTGTCTTCACTCAACATTGTTAGAACCTCTATGTATATGTCGTCTGGGCCTGGTGCTTTTCCCCATTTGCTGTGTTTGATTGCCCTTACAACTTCTGACTTCAATATTTTGGGCGAGGGTTCACTTTTATAGTCACTTTCAGAGTTTCTTCTGGTTGTATCTGAGTATAGTTGCAGTGTATAGTTTTTCCAATGTTGAAGTAGATCTTTGGGATCAGTAATTAATTTATTGTCCTTCACAATACTGTTAAAACTGCAAGGTTTTGTATGACCTGTCACTTCTTTAATAAGTTTATGTATAAAAGTGGTCATGTTTTTCTTCCAATTCCTCCATTTCTGCACACCTGTCTAGCAGCCACTGTTCTTTAGCTTTGTGACACTCTTTTTGTATTTGTCGGTTGATCTGCTGATGTTTGGTTCGGTCTTTGTTTTTAAATGATCTGCGGTCGTTCATCATTGATAATATTTCGTCAGTCATCCAATTTTTCTTTTTGTACTTTTGGGAAGCGATCAGAGACTTGGTGGTGGTTACGATAGCTGTTTTAATACAATTCCATTTGTCTTCTATACTGGCCGGTTATTTAGATCTTGTCGTGATGTTCGCTATTGCCTCATTTAGTCTTTCTGTGACTTTGAGTTTAACGTTAGGTTAATTTAAGCTGTTTATATCAATTTGCTCTATGGATTTTCTTTTAATTTTTTTAAGCTTAATTTTCAATTTTCCTACTAAGGGATTGTGATCAGATCCAATATCTGTTTCAGGGTTCGTTTTTACTCCTTGAAATCCATTTATGTATTTCTGATTAATCAATAAAAAATCAATTTGATTTCTTACGATGTTGTCATGCGTATGTTGTGGAGACTGCCAGGTGTAGAGTCTCCGAGGTGGCAGTTTGTACCAAGTATTCGCTATGACTAATTTTTCTTCTTAACAGAACTGGATTAGGATATCACCTCTCTCGTTTCGATCTCCCAAACCAAAGTCACCCACGACATCTTCAACACGTCCTTGCCCTACCTTCGCATTGAAATCTCCCATGATTATAAGAATCTGGTTCTTCTTGATCAGTTTCATTATTTCCTTAAAATCTCTGTACAATTGTTTTACTTCATTTTCAGGCTTGTCCAAGGTTGGTGCATAGATTTGTATAATCTTGAGGTTAACAGGATCGGCTTGGACTTGTAGTAGTGCTGCCCTATCTGAGTATGCCACGAAATTCCTTACTGATTTGTTTGAGGCTGTGTTAACTAAAACTCCAACTCCGTTATAATGATGGTGTAGGATATTTCCTGAGTAATATAGTGTCGCTTTTTCTTTAGTACATTTACCACTGTTAGGTCATCTGAATTAGCTAAGTCCTGTGATGTCTAGGTCGCATCGTTCCATTTCTTGTATTATGTTGCCTAGTTTACCGGCGGTATAAAGACTTTTAACGTTACAAGTACCCAGTTTTAGCTTTGGGGTTTTTTCCACTTTCGGGTGGTTCCTAGCATTGTTTTTCTTCGCGGAGATTCTTAGCACCCCTTGGCCACTTAAGGCCTGCCACGGACTAGGGGCCGTAACTTGCAATATCTTTTCCATCCTTGTCTTTCTTGGGATACCCTTGGAGACCTTTAGTACGGTAATTTCCCATTGCCTCATGTATTCTTATGCCGTTTACATTCTTTGTTTATCCGCCCTTTAGAGGTAGTTTCTCACACTAAGGACAGAAGAGTGCCCTAACTCACGTATGCTCCTCAGTCCTCTATCCAGAGACCATTGTCAAGGTGAGTGGAATCGCTTATACCGGCGATAGTTCGGTGAAAATTGACTTTATATTAGCCCTAAAATCTGGGGTCACCACTTCCGCCATTCTCGTCGTACCGAAGGTATCCTTCTCCGCCGTGATTGCCGTTGTGGTCTTCATCCGTAACCCTGGACAAGGGACCCTAAACAGGTACTAGTTCCCCGGGTCAGGGACCACCCTTTTGTTGTCTACCTTGCCTAAAGCTTTGTATGTACGTTTTTCACATAAAAGCCATTTCCCAACAAACTAGACAACAAAATTTTTTATGCACGCTGTGGATGATAATCAAAAAGTATTTATTCAGAACAGCTTACAGTAGAATTGTAGCGTAAAGACAAGATATGCATAAATGTATTCATATTTTTATAATAATGAACACAAACAAGAAAAACTAAAAGTAGGTACCGTTTGATACGTTTTGAAGCAGAGCGCTACACAAAGTCCCACATCGCAATCAAGTCAGTAGTACCTTAATTCGCGTATCAACTTCTGTCCGGATACATCCTTCGCCTTACTGTACGCAACACAGACTCTAGTTAAATGAACTTTTTTCACTGCGACAAGAACAACTTCTAAGAAATGTCGACTGGTAAGTCTAAGTGGGATTGGAAGCGTTGAAGGTCTTCCTCTTGACACACCTCTATCTTTGTAGTAAACCTTAATCAGTTGTATTATCAAACTCATTCGAAATTTTAGATGCGTTCATAGCCCTCCGTTTTTCTTGTACAGCATTAAAGCATTTCTCTCAGTATGCTCGAGAAGGCGAAAGAATATTTTTTGTAATTTCTCTTTCCACGCTTCCTGGTTACAGGGTAATGAGCAAGATGTTTCCACTCATAGTATTATTGTAGTCTTGAACAATCCTAGATTTTTTATCTGCTTTTCTAGCCATTCTTCGGTAACCATTTTGGCATTATGCAGCGTTAACAGCACAAAACCTCTCGTTTATCCTTCTACCTCATTACTATTGCCTTTCCTTTTTGAAATGCAATAACTTCATTTTTCTTAAGTTTGTTCTTAATTTCTGGTGGTACACCCTTTCTTTGCATTCTAATAGTATCGTACGTATCTGTGCAAACTGCTAATAAAAGGTCAGTTGGTTCAGGGGATGTATAAAAGTTATCTGTAGTCAAACAGTGATCTCTCGACAGTAGAGGTTTCATTAGCGTCATAACAATACGTGTTGACACTGGAAGATCTTTAATTGTTCGTTAAACTTTGTATTCTTTTCATCCGAGTCTGCTTTTGTTGGGAAATAAGATCTCGTCAATTGTTATATCCCTTTCCAAATCATACAAATATTTATACTTAGCATTTAGGTATTCATAAACTTCTTAGATCTTATACAGTTTTGGACTTGGTGAGTATCTTTGTCGAAAGATTCATTATTAGAGAAATGTAGGTATAAGGAAAGATTCATTATTACATTGCATGTATATTTTTGGATCAATAAAGCCAGCGCATTGGTTTTTTTACCTCTGTAGTAATATAATTGCAAAAAATTCTCGCATTTCATTCCTATCCGTTGGTGTCCATTTGTTTTCTTTTATAACTCTGCAAAAGCCTGATCGCCTTTTCTGATTAGTAAAACGATTTGTTTCTTGAACAATTTTGTCCACTAGTCCATCATCGAATAACATGATCTCAAAAATTCAACCTTATTTTCAACATCCTGTATATTAAAACGACACTCCGATTTCTCAGTAAAAGGAAACCTCGGTGGAGTCAGGCCTGACTGGTCTACATCTACTCTAACCCATTGCCGGACTGCTTGAAGTAAATCGGATGCACTGTCATCTTGATTGGAATCTGACTCACTTGATAGCATTTCACTTTCACCGTCCTGTCTAATGTTCCGGATGTATCTAGCTTTAAACTGTTATCTGAATCTTTACTACTCTGGCTGTAATTCATAGTAAATAAAATAAATACTCAATTTCACAAAATGTCTTTACGTGTACACAAGCGGACGCAGCACGTGTTGTTTACACACTGTGTTCGTTACAAGCTCCCTTTCCCCATGGTATTGACGCCATACAACCTTGTAACAACTTTTTTTGTGTGCCATGTTTGTTTTCGAGCGTTGGCTATCATCGTACGCAAGCTGATGAAATGCTTCTCGATCGACAGTTCTATGAAACAAATCCTCGACCGTTTGTCCTGACCATTGTCTACAATTACGCAACCTTGTAACAACTAGTCCGTCTAAATTTGCTCAAATTCCGAAAGCCTAACTCGAAATAACGAAATAAATCGCTTAAATTCCCACTAAATAGTAGCTCAAAACGAGATATCTCGGGTTGGTTATTTTAGATACAACAAGTGCAAGACGAATTATCTGGGGATAGATTTTTTAAGGGGTTAAGAAAATGTACGTAAATATATGAAAATCCTAATTTTGGAATAGATTATACAGTAATTAGATATAAAACAGTTTGTAATGAATGTAATTTATAATAATAATCTCATAATATTATAGTAAAATTTGAAAGTAAAACGTAAGTCAAACTGTACTTTGAAGTAGAGTATCTGTACAAATGTAAATTATGTTTTAATTTTTAATAAAATTTTCATACAACACCTAGAATTTCCTGGATCTATCTTCCTGGTAATTTCTAACAGCTCTCTACACATTGTAGTTTTCCGCACCAAACAGTCATCAGTAATTTGCGTTGGAGTGTACCCTTGTTGGTACCCGTACAACTGTATCAACGAATGCTTCACAGCGTAGACGTGGTAGTGGTTAGGATGTAGGAAGGTCAGCATTTTATTGAGCAATGCTTCCAGCTCTCTAACTGTAGGGTTAGCTAGCTGAACGTTGTCGACCTCTTCTCCTATACCGTTTACCAAAAAACTTACTTCTTCGTTGGATATTTTGACGGTACATTGATCACATGTCCATTCTGTTTTGTCGTCTAAGGGGTTTATCGGTAGCTGGGTACCACCACAAGGTTCATCGTTGGTTCCAATGCATTTAAGAGCACTTAAATATGATCCTTAAAGTTAAAAATTGAATATATTAAAATTAGCGATTATTAAATTAAAACATGATTTTTAGGGCTTGTCAAAAGAAATATGGCACTTTATGAAAGGTCAAAGAACGGAGGTAATGAAATTAATAGTCTTGAAACATATCGACAATGATATCGATATGTTTATTGATTATGATTATGGTTAATAGTCCTGAACAACCCCAATAATAGGATGATAGGCATGAATCAAATAACACAACCAAATGATTAAATTGTGCCATCTCAATTTACTTTCACATCACTACCTTACACACCAACATTAATATCCAAACTAACTAAAGTCTTTGCTAACTATTTTCAGACAAGTTCAATGCTTCATCATTCTATTATGTATAGAGTAGCATTTTAAAATTCCTTGGTATATATTGAAAACCCCTCGTATATGTATCTATTAGAACCGAAGAATAATTTTACTTAACTACTTTATATATATATATATATATATATATATATATATATATATATATATATATATATATATATATATATATATATATGAAATACTGGATATTATTGACTGTCGATATAAACAAATAACACAGTTTATTAGGGTTGCAGTCAGAATATTGGCCGGGATGTTAAAAAAACACTCTTTTGACTTTTTTGTCGAGCTTTCGGATATATATATATATATATTATATATATATATATATATATATATAGGTATATATATATATATATATATATATATATATATATATATATATATATATATATATATATATAGAACTATCAGCAATTTTCTACAGCTGTCCCTCATTATAGTTCTGTTATCCTAACAGAGGAGTTTAAGTTGAGAATCAATTTGATTTTGCTGATAGTGGACCACTAACAGCTTGCATATAACTTGTATAAAACTACTCATATACAAGTTGCTGCACAAGTTCTACATAACCCCTAATATTTTTGTCGTTTTAAGCACTTGGGCCTGATTATGGGCTACAAATTGTAATCCCCGAAACCGGCCGCCCTATTTTACATCAATAGAATATTTAACTTAAATTGTTAGTAACTGAGCCGTCTTTGATACCATAGTTGAACATAAGAGTTATTAAATTAATTGTACCGAAGCCACGATACAATTGATTACTTACCCATTTCCGTTGCGTCACTACAACGTTTACACTCGCAATCAAAATACTTCGTTTCCCTAAGATGTTCCCTTCTAGCTTGAGTACCCCAAAGACAGTGTGTATACATAGTCGTAATATGTTCACCTGCACTTATATGCGAACTAGCCTTTAGATTAACCTTGTAAGTTTCATTATCAAAATTATGCGTTGTATTTGGAAGACAACTATGCTCCAGAAGGTAAATCGTTGGATACAAAGCTGATACTTCTGCGTTTTGATTTATCTCTAAAGCGTTCACGTCTATAATACCACACAGCTTTTGGATAGTTTCTGGGGACACGTCTTCTAGCACTTTTCTACCGGATCTTCCTTCTAGAATGGTCATTGGGTGGAAGAAGTTGCTGTGTAGGTAATCGACAATTCTCTCTTGAATTGCCCTTGAAATAAAAAAAAAAACAATGAATGTAGAATAAGTATTTATACTAAATATCAAATGAATCCTTAAAAGTATAAGGACCTTACTTAAATTTTTAAACAAGTATCTCTTAACATTGTCTCTTTCAATCTAAATATGCACAGTGAAGGTTTTTATATATCCAAGAAGATCTGCTTAACTCTCTTCTTTATAACCAGGCGTCGTCCAAATTTGTTCCCGAGAAAATCATATCCAAAATACAATCGACTGACATCAACACCGCGCGCTTAATCCCAATCTAAAGAATCAAATCCTCATCAGACGAAACCTTTTCTTTTTTATATCAAAGGTTTAACTAAAAAAATCGACAAAATTCTAAAATCAAAGGGAATAAAGACAATATATACCACTCAACAAATGTTTCCACCCCTGGTCCGATCTTTCAAAGATAACATTCGAAATACACAACATGGAGTTTATGAAATTTCTTGTACAAACGATCCATGACCTTACATAGGACGAAGCAATCGAATAATCTAAAATATGATCTATGAACATTCCATAAAGGAATAAAGAAAGCTGAGCAACTATTTAGAATAGCTCGAGACAGAGACAGTTTCGCCATGTTAATCGCCAACGTCAAGGGGACTTGATAGGGCACGTTAAGAAGAAGAACATTCCATTTCCGTTCACAGTTTAATTTTACTTTAAGCTATAAGCCAATATCATCTGAATACAGGTAAAAAAAATGGTATTGAAAACTCCAGAATTATCTGAGAAGCCGTAGAGTCGAAAAAAGTCCGAATTGTCTCAATAAAAGGGATACCGGAACTATTTCTTCAACGTAGCGACGTCTCCGCAATCATAATAAAATATCGTCCATTCCGTCTACCAATCTAGCTCCCGACGTCAAGAATCCTTGCACAAACTCACACCCAAACGTTACGTCAAGGAAACACGTCATCATCGAAGGTATAAATGGACCATCCCATCTGGGACTTCAGAAGACTAGGGAAAATCAGGGGTAATAATTAATACGCGGTTGAAGCGTAGTACTGGCCCTGTTATCTTCCTTGTATACTGTAGATGCGGGTAGCGGGTAGGAACTCTTTAAATTCTTTAAGATAGTCCTATCAGGGAAATGGAATCAATCCCTGCCCTCCGCAGATTCCGGTGGTTTCCTGACCCGGGAAACCAGTACCTGGTTAGGGTCCCTTGTCCAGGGTTACAGATGAAGTCCACAACGGCAGACACGGCGGAGAAGCGGAGCTTCGGTACGGTATGGATGGCGGAAATGGCAACCCTCGATTTTAGGGTTGATATAGAATCAAAACAGTAGCGTCTGATCCAGAATGGACGGCTGCGAACAGCGTCTGACCCAGAATGGGCGGCTGATATAAAACTCACCAACCCGTTTAGCCAGCGTGTTGTTACAAGGCTACTCATATAACATCAGAACGATGAGGACAGAAGATAACCTAGAAGAGTTGCAAGAAGAACTTAAGACCATCAAATGGGACATAGTAGGCCTATGCGAGACAAGGCTTAAAGGCGAAGAATCGACTCTACTAAAATCAGGGCACACTTTGTACCAATACAATTCAGGAAATAACCAAGGTATAGGAGGCGTAGGCTTTTTCGTACATAAGAGAATTGAAAACATGGTAACCAAATTCCAAGCGATTTCTAATAGAGTTATCTATATGGTAATAAAACTAAATCGTAGATACAGCATTCAAATAATCCACTGTTATGCACCAACTTCTTCTGCAGATGATGAAGAGGTAGAACAACTTTATGAAGACTTTACAAGAGCCAGAAACCTAGAGAAAACATATTACGTAATAATTACGGGAGATTTCAACGCTAAAATAGGAAAGAACGAAAATAACAACGACAACAAATATATTGGAAATTTTGGACTGGGAAGTAGAAATCACAGGGGAGATATGCTCGTAAATTTCCTCAGCAAAGAAAAACTATTCTGCTTAAATACCTTCTACAAGAAAAAGATGCAGAGAAAATGGACGTGGTTAAGCCCAGATGGCAAAGTAAAAAATGAAATTGACTTTATACTCTCTAACTTCAAAAACATTGCTAAAGATCTTACTGTACTGAATTCTTTCAATACTGGTAGTGATCATCGATTAGTTAGGACGCGAATAGAAATAAATACGAAATTAGATAGAAGAAAATTATTAACACAGGATAAATTGCCAAACATAGAAGCACTCGAAATGAATCAAGAGGAATATCAAAGTGAACTAAAAAAGAAACTAGGACCTCTACCAGTATTTAACACGAAATATATAAATGAAATAACACAAAAATTAACGAATGACATAACATCAACTGCAAAAAAGATCTGTGATAAAAATAAAAATCCCAGAAAAACGAAACTGAAACAAACAACACTTAATTTAATGGAAGAAAGAAGAAGAACATCGAAAGAATTACCAGAGTATAAAGCTATCAACAATAAAGTTAAAAAGAGCATAAGGTCAGACTTGCGGGCTTATAAAACAAAACAAATATTGCAAACCATCGAAAACAATAGAAACATGAGAGTATTGAAATCAAATTTAACTAAAGGAAAATCAAAGATAACTAAAATCAAAAATCAACAGGGGAATACGGTGATCGAAAAAACTCAAATAATCAAGGAAATACAAACGTTCTATAAGAATCTTTATACATCTACTATACAGAACCCCGAAACAGACCACAGAACAATTCTAAACGTCGGCTCGGAAACCCTCCCTAAAATAACCTCTTCGGAAATTAGACATGCCTTACAGCAAATGAAAAACAAAAAAGCTCCTGGCGAGGATCGTATAACGTCCGAAATGTTAAAAATGGGCGGCAACATCGTTGTAGAAGTTGTGGAAGTCTTACTGAATAAGTGTCTAACAGAAAAAAGAATACCCAGCCTATGGGAAAACGCCGAAATAATACTTTTACACAAGAACGGAAACACTACTAATATTGAAAACTACAGACCTATAAGTTTGTTGTCACACTTATACAAATTGTTAACAAGAATAATAACCAACCGCATAACACAAAAACTTTTTATATCAACCGGTTGAACAGGCGGGATTTAGAAAAGGGTTTGGTACTAATGATCACTTACAAACCATCAGAACACTAGTAGAAAAAACCACAGAATATAATGTACCTTTACATATGGCATTTATCGACTTTCACAAGGCTTTCGATAGTATTGAGACTTGGTCCTTTTTGTCAGCGCTGAAGGATGCTCGAATAGACTCACGGTACACTACACTCATTAAAAACATTTATGAACAGGCCACATTCCACATCAAAATCAATGAAGACGAAAAAACTGAAAAAATGCGCCTTGATAAAGGTGTTAGACAGGGTGATACTATTTCACCAAAGCTTTTTACCTTAGCATTGGCAAATGTATTCAAACAGCTTGACTGGGAGGAAAAAGGTCTAAACATTGATGATGTACGTTTGAATCATTTGAGGTTTGCGGATGACATAGTATTATTTAGTACAGATATCAAGGAACTGGAGCAAATGTTGAAGGAATTAAACCAGCAGTCAAATAAAATAGGTCTCAAAATGAACCTTCAGAAAACAAAAATAATGAGTAATTTACAAACTAATCTTGTTATTGACAACGTCAGTCTTGAAAATGTAGACCACTATATATATCTTGGACATACCATTAAAATCGGCAAAGAAAATCAAATAGCCGAAATAAAAAGACGCATACAACTGTCTTGGGGAGCTTTCGGCAAATTAAGCTTTATTTTGAAGAATAAAGATATACCAATGTGTCTAAAACGTAGAGTTTATGACAAATGTATCTTGCCTGTAACTACATATGGACTGGAGACCATGGCCTTCACAAAGAAAACCTTAGAGCAGCTCAGTACAACCCAAAGAGCAATGGAGAGGGTCATGCTAGGGATTAGTTTAAGAGACAGGATTCGAAATAACGTCATTCGTGAAAGAACAAAAATTACTGATGTCTCAGAACGTATTGCAAGGCTCAAGTGGCAATGGGTCGGACACGTTGCCCGAGATAATCCCGAAAAATGGACACAAAGATTAACAAACTGGAGACCAAGAAAGAACAGGCGAGGAGTAGGCAGACCGCAGAAGAGGTGGACAGATGATATCAAACAAGTCGCGGGCAAGCAGTGGATGAGAATTGCCAAAAGTAGAAATCGATCGAAGCAAATGGAAGATGCCTATGTCCAGCAGTGGACGAACACAGGCTGAAGAAGAAGAATACTGTAGATCCAAGAGATAACCGACTATAATCCTAAAGCAGCACTAGCAGTATAAACGGAGGACTACATATATTATATGACTACATAAATATCGACAAAAAAGATAAAATTTATAGCATTTAAAGGTAAATGCTGGATGATAGAGTTGTAGAAGTCGGTGAAGTAAACGGACTGTCCCTAATCACAAAAGAGACACAGTTTATGGCTATTACAAAAGCTCAACAGCGCCAAGAAAACAACAATGCATGGAGAACAAATTAAAAAAGTTGAAAAATGTAAATATCTGGGTACAATAATTAACGAAAATAATGAGTACACAGAAGAGATTAAGGCAAGAATAGGACAGGCTAGAAATTTTTTCATCAGACTAAAAAAGGTAAAAATTTTATGGGTTGGAGGCTTGGACATTAGAGAAAAATGTTTCGAATAGATTAGAAGCCTTCGAGTTATGGGCCTATAGAAGGGTATTAAGAATTGGGTGGATAGAGTCACAAATGTCGAGGTGTTGAGAAAAATGGGAAAAGATAAAGAGATTTTAAATGCAATTAAAGTCAGAAAACTGCAATATCTGGGACATGTCATGAGGGGCAAGCGTTATAACTTATTGCAATTAATAATACAAGGAAGAATACAAGGTAGAAGGAGTCGCGGAAGATGACGCATCTTCTGGTTAAACAAATTAAGAGCTTGGTTTAACTGCACTTCTGCTGACCTCTTTAGAGCAGCGGCGTCGAAAGTGCGAATTGCCATGATG